CTTTTTGTAGTCTTCACACTATTTTTCTTCCAGAGTCATGCAGACATTTTGAGAATACTGTAACCCAGAAAGAGTGCGGCCGCATTCGTTCCGGTATAAATATCGGACTGACAGTGCTGGAGAACTTGGCCTCATCTTTCAAAAACGAGTCTGACTGATCAAAAGTTGTATGGAGTTATTTTCCTTTAACGATACGTGTTACAGCCTTTTACAAAGTACAAACGTGGGTGAGAACGGCATTTATACAGAGGTGGAGTGAACTACTGCTACAACACTCATTCACTCTTCTTCAGTTACAACAGTCTTTTCTTTAGCGGCCCTTATTGCTTCAGCCTTTGAGGCTTCGGGCCGATTTTCTCATAATGATAAAAAAAAGACAACAGGCAAGTAAAATCAATATGTCTTCTTCTCATTCTCTGTTTGATGAAAAGCCTTGAAAACAGTGTTCAGCTAGACTGAGTAAAGCTGTCATCGATGAGTGAGTCAGATATTAATAAATCTGACGTGGACGTATGGGCTCAGGCAGTGAAAGGTTTGGATAAATAAAAGTCTCTGGAATTTCTCTGTGGATAGTCACGAAAATCTCCGTGGCTTAAGTATCACTCAGGAAAACACTGCAACAGGTGTAGTGACAGTATTTGGACTGTGACGTAGCGCCGCCGCATACGTCTCTGGAAGCGGTGGCGACTCGTCAATCACAAGGTAGCGGCGCCCTAAAGCATCCTCAGCTCTATGGTGCATTCCACTCTAAATGGGGCCATCATTTACTAAATGAACATCATTTCCCGCGCGCGGCACGAGTCTGTACATTACTATGTCAATGAATGAAGTAAGAAGTAGAGTGGTTTCCCCATAGACTATTATACAGACAGAGAGAATGCAGGTTTCAGAAGCTTCAGCACAGGCTTCACGTAGAGAACTGAAGGCTGCTGCCCTGCTAAAGAAAGCTGTGACAGCCGCAGCCCTTCTCTGCAGATTGGCATGAACACAAACAAACAGCTTCAAGCCCACATTTAACCTCCATGGCAAATTTCAGCAGCCAACGCAGGCAAAAACCAAAGGGCGGAGACATCGTTGTGGGCCGACCGGGCGCCGCGTAGAGGGCGCTATGGAGCTGTACCTTGTTATGATGAATATCAAGTCCTTACCCGAGGCGTTCTTCAGGTTGCCGTTGGAGTCCGTAGTGGTGTACATGACATAGGGGCCGGGCTGGTTAACACCAAACGGCTGCGAAAACATGAAACACACAGAACGTGACACTTGGCAAGTATCTTTTCACATCAACCGTCTGTCAGTCTCAGCAGAAGGAGACAGGAGAAACGAGGAAGGAGGAGTGAAGGAGAAATACAGAAAGAGTGGGCGGAAAGGCTCGTTGTTACCACGGTGACCCTAGCCGTTCTTCACTTTTATTTTCACCAGGGCGACTTGGCGAATGTCGAGATTTGTGCCGAGCCCTCCCTCTGTTTACCTGGGCTGATCACGCCTGAACATACCCGCCACGAGAGAGAGACCCGGACCGTGATGCTGCGACACTCGGCAGTCAGGTGAGGAAGGGAAGAAGGGGAATGAGGAAAAAACAGAGTGAGAGTGATGTGAAAAGCCACAGCGGAGCAGATCGGTGGACTCAAAGAAAGACGACGAGGGCTGCGACTGAGGAGAAGAGGAGCGGGAGAGTGAAAGGAAAAAATCATAGAGGTGGGGTGATGGACGGGAGAGGAGGGGAAGAGAAACAGGGGGGGGGGGGACTGCTTAAATATCTCTCTCCCGGCACCTCGACCCGACAGCAATGCCAGACAAACCTCTGGAGGCTGACCAGTGATGGGAGGGTGGGAGGGTTGGGGGGGTCGGACCACAGGGAGCCAGTTGCCCTGGTACACGTCGGGAGTGTTAATCTTTCCCAAGCAAACAAACAGCCAG